TCTCTCTCTCTCTCTCTCTCTCGCGCACGCATGAACTCCAAAAAAAAGCATGACAATGCCAGATTGTTTCGTTGGACTTCCACCAACTCATCAGGAGGTTGAACCCCAACAGTCTACCCACAATGCATTCTAGTGCGTGCTTGCATGAGTGTACGTGTCTGTGCATATGCTTGCGGGGGCCGGCGGGCAGGCATCCGTCCGTGTGAGTGCGTGTTGTCTAACCCCTGCGCTATACACTACGTCCATGGTAGTGCGTGGTTCCTCGTTCGCCCTGCGGCGCCAAACATATGTGTCGGAAAGGGGACGAAATGGCGCGCCCAATAAGGGACCTGGGCCTGAAACCAGTTTTTCCCCACGCCTAGCAGCCCCAACTTCAAATCTCAACCGTTGGACTGGTACGGGACAGAATCTTAAAGGTTTAAGATAGGCGGTCGATCCCGGCCGTGGCCCAGTAGGACCGTGGACAACCTGGATCGACGGGCAATCTTAAAATCTCACGTCAACGATTTCTGTAAGTAGAAGGATGCATTTTTCCAGGTTCTAGCAAAAAAGTTTCCTTTTCATTTTGTACATTCGGTGAGTGGCATGACAAGGCCCATGCTCACGCTTAGACCTTTTCAACTTACTTGTGGTCCTGTGGATGTAATTGAGGCTAGGTGCATCCAGGTTGGACTGTAAAAGAGGTCAGAGGCATCCAGGAAAGTCCTTTATGTCAGAATGTCGTGAGTCTTCTGTGCTCAGGCCCCACTGCAAAGCTGCTCTTTCCTCCTTTTTTTTTCTGTTTAACTGGAGGGCCGCAGCCGTGAGATATCATCATTCAACTGACCGGCCTGGTAACCGTGCAGCATTTTGTTCTGTTACCTGCTGCACCTTGGCTTGGAAGAAAATGGGAGGGAATACCACCAAAAAGCTCCCACACCTGTCTCTTATACACATCTAGATGTGTATAAGAGACAGCACACACACACACACACACAAGAACAAAAGGAAAAGAGAGACGCAAAAGAAATCGTGTGACATGGCAAAGCCACACGGTGCAATCTCCCGCCTTTATCCCCCACCTTCCCCCTAGCCCTTCCGCCACCTCCCATGTCCCTATCGCTATCTCTGTATCTCACACACATACATAAACGAAACGGGGGGGGGGAAAAGAGAACGAAAACGAAAAAAACAGATATTGTCATGCAGCGCGCTTTCACCTTCCCCCGCCCTCCGTCGATTTCCCCCTGACCCTCCCCCATCCCCCTTCCCCCTCTCTCTCTCTCTCTCTCTCTCTCTCTCTCTCTCTCTCTCTCTCTCTCTCTCTCTCTCNGGGGGGGGGGGGGGGGGGGGGGGGGGTAGAGAGAGTTGGCATGGCTGCGGTGAGAGCAGAGCTCCCTAAGATGAGATCAGGGACAAACCGGTTGGAGCAAAGGGGTTTAGGTGGACGAGGGACTATTATCGGGTGTTGTCATACATCGTGCATGGTTCACAACGAGGTCAGGATTTAGTATTGGGGGGGGATAGAGAGAGACCACGCTCTGTCTCTCTATATGCGGGAGCGTGCTCTGGCCTTCGGCCCTTCGTACATGCATCTCTACATAGCACGGAGTCTTCTTCTTCTTCCTTCGCGCACTTCATTTCGTCAGTGCATGGTTCTCAATGACGTCTCTTCCTCGTGAGGAGCTTAGATCGGTGTCTCATTGTCAGACATTATAATTAGCACTTACAACATCAAATAGATTTAAGAAAGATAACTCACCTTCTTAACAAATCCAAAAACCAATCGGTTGTCCCCAAACAGAACTCCGGGAATCTTTATAAGCAAGTGCCTTGAGAATTTCTCTGCATAATCAAGAAAAAATGTTTCAAGAAAGTCAATATGTAAATTTGAGAAAAATTGTAAAACGTTAGAACGTAAGAATATTGCCATAATTTTCCAAAGAGACAATGACTTTTCCATAAGGATATCAAGTGACTGTATATCTTTACCTTTACGTGATAAATCGGTTTCCAAAATCCATGCATCTTACAGACCATGAACTCCGGGAAATTCAGAGGATACCAGCACACCGACAATAGATAACAATGTTTCAATCATCAAATTGCCATCTTTGCCCTGATTGTGTCGAGGGTCAAATTCCAAGTCAAAGTAGAGATGACATTTTTGTTCCTGCAACACATGACATGGGACAATAAGAATCAGAAAAGTCAGAAAGTTGCAGCGAGGTTGTAAGAAAATGTATCTGGAAATGGAAAAATTTCACTGAATTTCTACCGTAGCCAGTCTGTAGCAAAGATTTAAAACAGCAGGTTGGAAGAAGCTGGCATCGGAAATATGTTTTTTTTAAGGTTCAATGCGGATGCACTCACTGGACGAATCAACTCGTAATAACATATTTTGCTGCCCTCTATCTTCATATAGGTTCCCACGAACTTGTCCAAAGTTGACACAATGTATTGAAATCCAGATTTTTGTCCTGGCATCTCCTGTGCCATGGTGATTGGGCACATTGCCGTCTCAAATGACTTAGCAAACTCCAGAGCATCGTTTGCTTTTCTGAACCTTTTCCAGTGTTCAAAATCTTCACCGGCTGCCTGTTGAAGAAAAAAGGCACATAGTACTGAAAAATTAGTACATAATATATCTAACGACTCACAAAAGCACCAATTCACAATTTACAGAGTCACAGAGGACGAACCATGTAGCATCAAAAGCATGAAGCACGTTGTCTCTTTCAAAGGGGAAAGAGAGAGAGAGAGGGAGAGAGAGAGAGAGACTCAAAAGCTGTCAATTGCAATCTTAAACCCTAAAACCAAAACCCTGGTTTTCCAAAAGAGTCTGCAGGTGTTGATTGCAACCCAAAAACCTAAACCCTAATTTGCTAAGTGGCAAATCTGCAGGAGGTCAGGTGGTGATCGGCCTGAGGAAGGAAGGGGAGGAAGGAGATTAAAGACCGAGCATTCCATTATGTGCTCTGACACGTGCTACTTCATTTCTTCTTTGCCTTACGCCTTCCAGGAAATGTTCCAACATGCACGCCCGACATCAAGGCTCTCATGTCAATGCTACTCCCGACAACTCCCCCACCCGAAGAGCAACTGCCAAGCAGAATGCTGATTGTTTCATTCATACAATGCAAAACCTGGTTAACATCAGTGACACTCCTATAGTTGGAGGCAACTTCCAACAACTTCCCCTGGCCAATCATCAATGACATCGCCCGAGCCCTCCAAACTGAGACTCACCCACACGTGCATGCACTTGCACATAAAGCGTCAAAACTCAACAAGTAAGCACGGGGCATACATACAAGATCGCTTGATCACAAATATATTCAGAGAACACTTAAAACAACGTCTGCATCGGAATCTTTAGCAAAAATATCAACGGGACAACGGACAGGATTTTCTCAGAAAAGGTCAGAGTTGTTGCACAGCAAGAAACAAAAACGATGTTACAAAGGTAACGGTTTCGCAAACAAATCACTCACAGATGAAGGGGAAAAAAAGGTTTGGTGGTATTCCCTTCTATTTTCATGCACACGGATTTATGTCTGTGCTCAGGCTCTTCTTTTTCGTTACTGTGAAAGAAGCGGCATATGTTAGGGAAGTTCCTTATGCTTTTTGTTTTCTTTTTGTGCGTCTTCCTTTTCTGTTTTTGCGGGCGAAGCTGTAACGGGCCATCTAGTTCTTATTGAAATTTGCTAAACTCACACCTGAACGCTGCAAGGCAACAATCCACCGAGTCAAGCAGCTTACACAGGCCGCCTGCTGCCTGCAGAAAACCAATAAAAAAGGATCACAAGACATTTGCAGTTGGGAGGAATAGCCTGCAGTCCCCCAGTGCTGGTTGTACTGGCTAACGTACAGGTTTGTTGCATCCCACACCACCTGGCCACATTCACGGAGGACAACCTGCTGTCCTCAGGTGCTGTGTACATGGCTGGCGCACAAGCTGGTTACACCCCACAGCCCCTACCCGCATATAGCCGCACGGTCCGCCCACGGTCTGCGTACCAGTGGGTCATGGGTGCTCAAACGTCTAGTAGCTTGGGTAGGCCTAGAGAATGTCCACTAGGCATAGAAAAGTCTCCTAGCTTCAAAAAAAGGTCGATGATAGTAGTTTGGGTTCAGGCCATGGAAATTGGGTTACAGGCTTAAAAAGATGACCCTCCAGGCATGTTGTAGGCTCCGCAACAGGCCTTCGAGCACACTCCATGCCTGCGTGCTTGGGTGCCCATGGAAGGAGTAGTGGTGCTGCAGCCATGTCCCTCGTGCTTCCTGATGCGCACACGGGCCACTGAAAGGCTTGCGGTGTGCTCAAAGACCCTTTTTGTACCCTCAACCCAGAATGAACAGGCTGTATATTTTTCTATGTAGATATTAAAAAAACAAAATTACAGAGGGGTTCTTGGCACTTCTGCCACCATCCCCTACCCTCAAACCCCCACCAACAACCGTTCCAGACCCCCCAACCAGTATAAAATGAGACGTCCGAGCCAACTTACTTGTTTTACAGAGCATCTTTCGGCCTGTTCGAGAGCATCAATAACAACAGATTTTCCCCAAAAATCATCCTCCATGCTGGCTTCCTGGCGAACTTGCTGGATATCAAGTAACAACAGAAAATTAAAAAAGAACTCTATGAAAATAGATATATCAATACCTTAATACAATGAGAAGGATGAACATCACACCAAACCGTAAGCACACAACATATTTGCAAAGCCTGAAGATGAGCCAAAGTATAACCTCGAACAGTATGAGAAGGCCATACTCTCTCTCACGCTCTTTTCGCGCCACTCGTCTGTCGAGGAGACAAGTAACACTGTCATGGGCATGCATGCAATACAAATCGTGCAATATATCATTAACAAATAAGAAAGGAAAAAATTCGATAAGAAACCACATTGGGTTGATCTTTGTGTTTCTACAAACCTGCTTCCCTGAAGACTTTCCCAGTTCTTCAAGTGCTTCAATAGCAACTTTGTTCCAAAACTCGTTATCAGAATCTTCAGAAGCTTCTTCCTGGAGATTTAAAACAACAGTAATGGAAGACAACTTAGGGACGGATATGAAAAAAGGTTAGCGGCATCCCAACTGTTGAAGATTCTTTACGAAAAAGTTCTATTTTTTATTTTTTCTTGAATTTACGCCGATGACTCAGAGGTAGGAAAGTGGAAAAGGAACGATTCTTACCTCCTCCACACGACGCTGACCCAACTGAAGCTGGGATAAAAGTAACATCCGAAGCCAACATGGCTGACACGGAGAGAGAGAGAGAGAGAGAGAGAGAGAGAGAGAGAGAGAGAGAGAGAGAGAGAG